ACAAAACCGTTCCTACTGCCCGTCGCCCGCTTTGTCTCAGGTTCTTTGTTGTTGAAAAGGCGAATCTTGACGAGCAGCAGATCAAGGAACTGAGTAGAAAGTTATCAAAGCGAATAGATACCTATTTTTGTATGTTGCAGCTTTTCTTTATGTGAAAAAATAAGTAGCTCCACATGGTCGATCGTTGACCGCTCCTGGAACTTGCGAAAGACTGAGCCATCGTGGACAGTCAATTATTCGAAAGTTACGAGTACCACTAGTAGCTCGACGTCCACCATTTTATAAAACGGTTGGAAGGGATTGTAGTAGTAGCTCGACGTCCACCATTTTATAAAACGGTTGGAAGGGATTGTAAAAAGTCGATAGCCACCACCAGGATTAGGGGTTGTACGGTTGGAAAACTATGGAATCTAAGCCTTTTTTGTGGAGACGGCTTATTCACCTTTTGAAGGCACCGTATCATTACAGATATTGAGAGTGTTTTCTCGCTAACAATCTGATGACATATTTATGTTTCCAAATTTTTCAGGGGAAAGTCTAATATTGAAACGTGGTGCTAAATTTAATCTGATTTGTGAGGGTTACAGAACCACGCTATATGATTGCCGTTGGGATTTCGAAGTAAGTCGTTGAGTTGCATTTTGGGGTGGTCCCTTTTTTTACGTCTTCCGTCAAAGTCAGTAACATAGCATAGTAACATACATGATCGTATATGATCGTTCATTCGAAAAACAAACTTTAATTTCGTAATTTCCTTCCGAAAATGATTCTGATTATGATTTAGAGACCTTTTTTGATCCTAAAAGTGAAGTTCGATACGAAGGCTCCGGTTGTATTCCCCNCCCCATAACCAAGACACTCCCAAGAAATGATTCTGATATCTCTCATAATGGCTCTGGTAGGGATGTTCCGGGGGATTACAAACCAGATTTTTTTGTCAAGGTCAACTAGAACTGGGTTGACAGCTCTTCATGGACACCGTAGCACCGTAGAAGAGAACATACAAAAAATCTCGAACAAACGGTACTAAAAACATGGTATTTCGGAGAAAAAGTAAATAAATGAAGGTCAACATGCTTATGGGAAAAAGTAATTGAGATAAAAAAAAAACTTTTTCCCCGTCCTTAGCTGATTATGATGCCAGAAACCTATTCTGGGCTCAGTTCAGGTAGCAACTTCGTGTTCTTGATTCCGAGGATGCTATCGTGGGGGGTAACAATGACCAACGATCAACCCATATGTTTGAAGCTCGATCTTATAATTTGAAAGCCCTGGCGTATCCCCAAATAGAGTAAAATCTGATGTTCACAAAAGCTCAACGTATCAATTCCAGGACAAGGACGGAAATGTCAAGGGGCATCCCCCTTGTGGTGGTGCGGAATCAGCTGGTTATGCGTCAGAAAGTGGAGTGTATAAATGTTATGTGAAGGGACCAAATGATAAAGAATTCAGGCATACAAGTACAATCCCAGTGACGGTTTTCAAAGGTATGCCCTGTAATGTTTTTCGACCCTTTATTGGCTAAACGATCACNCCCCCCCACCCTTCTGACCGAGTACATGCCGGGGTTGTTTCGAGCGGCGCACAATGCCATGTTGGCCGTCACTGAGGGTTCCTTCATCTCCCCTCGTGTGCTCCTTTTCAGCGGGACTGGTGTTGTGCTGCTTAGGATAGAGAGGCTTTAGGAAAATTCGAGACAACTAGCCAGCCATAACTAGAAATCGGATCAGCGGCGAAAGAAACGCTTGGTTCTCCTTCTTCTTACTCTCCTGAAGGAGTGTCCTCATTCCTGTAGACATCTTATTCTCATTCCTGTAGATATCTATCATTTTCGTTAGTTTTTTTGTTTTGGGCATGGTATTGTTTTACTGCTTTATTTTAATAACACCCTTCAATTTCTTACATAGGAGAAAATATTGGGTCGATTTTGAGTAATATTTCAACAAATTTCCCAGATGCTCCACAAAAACCCAAAGTCGTGCTGAAAAAGATCGATGTTCGACCAAGAGGAATAGAAATTTCATGGGAAGCGGAATCGATAGAATACGTGCCAACGCGAAAGTGAGCTGAGCATTTTGATGCCACATCCCGTCGGGGTGGGGCAATTTATGAAAATATTTTATCATGCACCCATCAGAAGCATGACATTTTCATGATCTCATGCTTGGGGCCAAAAAATGGAAACTCCGTCAGCGAATTGACTTATTGTTGTTGTTCGTTTGATCTTCTTTTTTTCTGATTTTTTTTCTTTTTTCGCAATGAGAGTTGACTCCCTGCCTCCGCTCACTGTGGCACAATCTGAAGCGTGCTTGAATGGGCACATAAATAAGTAACTCAGTAGGGCCAAGTAGAACCTATAAGGGAATGTATGTACGTCCAGGTACATGGGATTGTTCCCAAAAGGGATCGTGGCGCACGTCTTGGGTGTCTTTCATAACATATGTCCGGAAACTCAACTGAGCCTAGCCCTCCGTCACTTCCAAGGACCTATCAAGAGGTATGGATAAGGAGGCGCTACCGCGACACCAATTGGTCCACCTCAAAGGGGTGGAGAGCTTCGTTGATCTGGTACACTGTCACTTTGGTATTCAAGTTGTGAAACTTTGGTTAGCTGCATCAATGGGCGGCTCCGCTTGTTTCCTGTCAAAGGGGGAGAGAAAAGGGGCGGAATTACTCACCGAAAAATAGAATTTTTCCATTACCCTGAAGGGAAAGCCATAATCTTGAGGCTTAACCTAAGTTAAATGTCCGCAAGAATCCTCAGAAAATGGTGCACACCTACTACTTTTAATTTTTTTATGCGATTAACTAGGCAATGGCGAATGTACCGTGTACTTTAGGATCAAAGTTTACGTCACAAAAGCTGGTTTCCCAGAGGAGCTGGTAACTGAAACAGCTGAACAGGTAGTTCTATGGGCCTAGCCACTTGAACATAAAAAAAACCTCATACTTCTTGGGTTAAAACTTCTGTCGCGTCTCAACGGCGCTGTTCAGAGTGGAAACGTCACCTACGCCGTCAACAACGAAGGTGGTAGATTCATAGTGACTGTTACTGATACTTTTGTGGACGATTTGACTAGTAAAAGTGAAGAAGGTAAGAAATTCGACGAATACCAAGAAGAAACCGAGTTTTACTTGCTGAATTTCAGAAGAAGTCTCATTTGAGACTGTAGACGATATCAAAGTGATTGACCTCAAACATGAAGTCGACCTCAATGATATTACCCTTAAATGGGACGCCACAGGAATGCGAAAAGATGAACAACCAGTATATGAAGTGAGGTTGGTTGGATAGTCCACACGCAACTCTCCTCTCTTTCGATCTTTTTAACTTTTTCTCTTTTTAATTTTTATCAGATTTCTTCTGTTTTGAAAAGCTTTGCTAAATCCATCAAATAGGGCCTTTTTCGAAGCAGATTCTGGTTAGTTAGAACAGTGTTTCGAGAACGGGTTTGAGAAGCATTCGAGCAAGGTCACCTGACCAGAATCGGTTTTATACCTTTGTATTTTCCCCCGTGGTCCCGCTGCTCTATAGTTTGTGTTTCGCTGTGGGTGATCTTTCTTGGCTGCGCCACGTACATGGTACACTTCACGAAAAGCGGCATTCAGTCAGACTGGTTTGATTGCTCACTGAAGACCTCCTATTGGTAGGAGCGAAAATAAGTAGATGCAATAGACTGGAAAAAGTTATTTTCAGAGTAATGACCATGAAAAAAGGCTCGAAAGTCCTGAACAAAACAATCAAAGCAACCGAAAAAATCACTGTGAGTGCATTGGACGTGACTTTCCTTTCTGCAAGAGAAGAATACTCAAAAAAAATTCCACTCAATAAAAACGAATGAATAAAAATAGTAATGGTAGGTTATAAAAATGATATTCATGATCAAAGTGATCCTGTAGATTCAATAGATTACGCTAAGAAGCACCTCAAAAGTAAGGCGACTAAGAAATATTGAAATAGCACGGTGAAGACTTCCTCTCCACCCCGCCTCCCTGTCCCCCACCCCACGGAAAAGCATAATAAAAAGTAACTTCTATCTTCGTGTTCTTCTTTCCTAGTATTTTAATATTAGCCGATGCTCCCTCTGATACCATATGCGGCGGTGTTAGGTTGAAAACGTCCCAGATAGGGCACAATAAGGGGTCAGAGATTGTATTGTGAGAATGCCACACCCGCAGCGGACGAGTCTCAACGGTGATTTAGAGGCTGCACTATCTTGAAGGAATCCCATGTTGAGTATTCAAACAACTTTTCATGACCCATGGCGACAGTGGAAGACAGTTTTAGACAATTCTGACTTGATATAGCCAGTTCTTTGCTCAATGATAACAAATGCAATCTTGTCCGAATACATTCGATTCCTCGCCATGGTAATTTCGTACAACCTCTAGTGCCACTACTTTTAGAAAGCCCTATTTTTCGCGTAGTAGGCGGATGCTCTCGCTTTCTTCGCCACCGATGCACTACATTACACCAACGCTTCCTCTTTCCAACTTAAAATGAGTGCCTTAAAATTATCGTGAACTGTGCCTATAACGGAAGAAAAATAATAAATATCGCATATAAAACTCTAACAAAGCAATCGATTGGTATTCTGTTTCAAAAAATTAACGCATAATTTTCGGTGAAATTTCAGACATATCACATATTTCTACATACAATTTGATTGAAAAATGTTTTACAGAAGTGGAAGATAGAATACAGACCTGAGAAGTATTTTGTTATCGTGGTAGCGACAATCGGATTGTATGAGGGACCTCCGAGCACTGAAGTAACCGTCGATGTGACAGAATTGGGTGCGTTTCCTGCCCTCGGGATTTTATTTCACAAAATCCACTTCAATTCTTATACCTCTAGTCAAAGGTGTTCTTCTTACCTGCTTTTAGGCGAGGGTCCCACAAGAGAGGCATTCGTGGGCAAAACTTTTGCCTGGGACAGTACTTGACTCGTTGTCCTTTCGTGCATCGTGCAAAATACGAGGTTCAATCCTGTCTGAGGCTGAAGTTTTCCCAACAACTCCTAACTCTTGTGTGACTTATAGTAAGAGGATCATTTTAGAAACAAATATCAATGAAGGATTTACTATTTGCCTTATGGACGAATTTCAGCTCCCACGGATACACCGTCAGTGGTAGGGGCAAAAGTGAACAGTCCTGCAGAAGTCTATATTATGTTCAAGCCATTACCTCTGGATAAACTTCCTGGCATTGACCTTGGCTGCAAGGTGGGTAAACAGCTTCTTGAGATTTAGCAGACATGGAGTAAACTCATAAAGGGACATAATTCACTTGATAATCCACTGGCATCAGAATCAGACCAACGATCCAGTTGGGTAAAAATGGCGCTGAAGAGTTTTGTTCGCCTTCTACCTCCCGTCGTCAAAAAAGGGATTCCACTACGAAAACCTTCTGCTTATTCCTTCAAGTATTCTCCTTACTGTGCCGTAGCAATGACTGACAACGGGAGTGAATACGATTCCCTCATTGATACCTATTGCAGAGAGCTTTGAAATGGTTTGAGACGGGGCTATTTTTGTAGTGTAGATGTACAGTATCACGAGAAGGTCCGATTAACACGTTGGCGACCATGCTTCCCGATGCCAGCATACACGCTTTTGGCTCGCTGGGGTATTATATTATTTATCAGGTAATCCTATAATTTCTTCATGTTTTCATGTATCAGCTGAGCTCACAGCCTTCTAAAGAACCTTGAAGTATTACGGTCCAGAAGTCATCCATTTCCAATTAAAGATATAAGATAAAATAAAGGTTAATGTAAGAACAACATAAAGGCGCGGTCGCCATTTTGTTAATCTCAATCCCTCTGATGGCGAAGTGCAGTGTGCCTTCACACGGTTCTGTCACAGTAACATCCAAATTCAATGAGGTTCTATGAAGAGTTTGCCATAATCTGAAATAATCACGATTTTCAGGTGTATTTATGCTTAGAACAAAGGGTTAACATTGATTGCAAAGTGAAAACTGCTGGTCCTCGTGTGGACAAGGTGCTATACGAGGATCTCATCGGTGGAAGTATGTTTTTTTTACCTTTTCATGCTTTTGCTTTTCCATGAAGAGTACAATACTATCCTTTCGTCCATTGATTCTTGACGGACTAGAGAGTACTTACGTATTTATTTAAAACCTTCCACTTTCACAAATGTCATTGTATCTACTCTATTTACCTGACTCCCGCCAGTCATTATATGAGCCACAGATGCACTCAATCATTACAATTCTGATTTGAAGTCAAGTGCAGGGCGCATACTCCATACGGGTTTCATTAACGTCAAAAAACTTGAAGGACCTGGACCTATATTTGGTCATTCTATTCAAGGTCTTTGAGGGTTTTTCGTCATCGAACTGATTTAAGATCATGGCATATTTCAGGGGTGTATTGGGCATCTGTTCAATGTTTGACTGGGGCTGGACCTAGTCCAATGTCGTCATGGATATCCGTGGATGTCGCAAAATCTGTAGTAGCTCCAAGAGGCAAAGGGATCGGTGCTCGAAGGGTATGTGTACGAGATTTCCATGCTCGCTCTTTCTGCAACATCGACGTTCAATGGGTACTACTGAAGGAACGTTCCCTCTCTGTCAGGAGAAGTTTCCAGGAAAAAGATGTGCGTGTCAGGATCACAGCTGAAAGTGGAAGAAGGGTTATTGTAAGTTGGAGCTTTGAGATGAGGAATGGATCGCGATTCGACCCTAACTTTGTCCAAAGCCTTCGAGTAATGCAGTATATAAAGGTTATATCAAAAGTCAACTTCATACCTTGATACCTTCGATTACTAGCTAGTTGTCTCGATACAAGGAAACAATCCATTTATAGGCAGATGGTAAATACGTTTTGGATCGTATATTGACTGAAGATCGCGGTTTACGAAGCGTGGATGCAGGGGTAAGTCATCTGACGGTGCCTTTGATATCGTTTCTGATCGTATGAAATCACTGCAGTATCCCCTACTACCCTACCCTATAGCCCTACTTCCTACAAAACTAAAAACGAGAGGAGCAGTAGGTAGAGTCATGGCTTTCCCCCTGTGAGGCCTGAGCAGTTCCTAAGGTACTCCCAGGTTGGGAAGTGTTGGATGGGATCGGGACCTCTGCGCATATGGACGAGTAGCCTATTCGCACGGGTGTGGTATTTCCTCCCAGAAAATCGCGTCGGTCTCGCCGCACCCAGTCTCGTTCAGTCGNTGTTGGATGGGATCGGGACCTCTGCGCATATGGACGAGTAGCCTATTCGCACTGGTGGGGTATTTCCTCCCAGAAAATCGCGTCGGTCTCGCCGCACCCAGTCTCGTTCAGTCGCGCACTATGGAGGGAAAGGTTTGAATCCCCAGTGTATACGGTAGCCAATGCTGCCCACCGTGAGAACTCGGGAAGAAGTACTGCCACCCCATTCACACGACAGAGTAAGTAATCGTCGTGCTAAATTGAAAATGTTAGTAAAAAACGAATAATTTACTTGAAGCAATTGCAAACGCTAATACAAGCTTAATTAGTTTTCTACTGATGTGAACTGCAAATTATAGTGTATAGAAAGGAAATCTAGAGAAACACATAGTGATAGCGCGATCCCCTCGTAACGCGCGACGATTACTATCTAGTTGTCTCGGCGCGCCCCCTGTCTAATGTGGATTGCACTAGATAGTTGTCTTACCATGCGAAATGTTCACCATTCATCAACTTTATGACTTGTTGACTTGATGGATGACTTGTTCAACGGAATGAATGAGAATAGCGACGTGTTTCAGCTCTCTCCTGGATTCAAGTTTGACACAAATTGCTATTTTTATGCCGTAAACGTCTCATTTCAAAGTAACAGGAGCGCCTATGAAGCAACAGATGAAATGTGTTATTGTAAGTGATCATTTTCTTTTGTGCTGTCTGTTGGCTTTCGACGGGGGAGGGGGGTAGAGGGGTGGAAGGGTGGAAGAGGTTCGAGGAAGTGGGTTCGCCCGTCAGCTGGCTTTCTATTCTTCACCCTTCGGATCCCTTTTCACAAGTAACCCACTGGGACAGCTCCCTACTGAAGCCACATGATGCAGTCTTCAAAAATTTCGAAATAACCATGAGAAGTATGGGTGCAGGAAGAATTAAACCTCTTTTGCAGCATTTTTTTCACCGAGTTACCTATTGCTCTATGGTGCAATAATAATTATAATTCTATTAATGATCGGTATTTCGTATCAACTTTCGAAAGGAATGAAAAAGGTACCTCACAAAACATTTTCTCAATAACATCACGGTCCAGTGCTGTTTTACGATCCTGATAAGTGACGGATTTCAGCCAGGCAAGACAAAAGCTGGAAAGGCAGCAAAAGGTACACCTAAGAAAAAGAAAGGCAAACAAAAATCCAAAGATTCCAAATCCAAAGACTCCAAATCCAAGGACTCCAAATCCAAGGATTCAAAATCCAAAGACTCCAGATCCAAGGATTCTAAAGGATCTAAAGAGGCGGAGAAGCAAGAAGAAAAGTAATGGAGGATGACAAGAGACCAGCGAATTAGAGAAAAATATTCTGCAAGTGTACGTTATAAATATGGAATCTCAACAAGTATCTCTCTATTAAAGTACTAAATAAAGGGCTTGTTGAAATGATAGTAAGGCTACCTTGCCATCTGTAGATGAGATGTCCGAAACTGTCTTCTAGTATATGAGGGTTGCGGTTGGTAGGACGTTTATCTCGTTACGGTAATCAGGTGTGGTAAGAAATTTGGGAACGAAAACGTACGCATTACCCATATTTTTGCTGGTATTTTTTTTCAACTCACTACTAGTGAACATTAGTTCCTGCCGAAGACTCGTCTCGACTTCTCATCCTTCCTTTGCATTTCGACCCCAATTCGAGAATCATGGGATCATGAAATGAATCATTCAGTGCTTTGATTCGAAAGCCTTCCACTTCCTTTGTCAAAGGGCGGCTTGAGGCCATGGGTTGCCCTATTTTGGGACGCATATGGAAGAAATTGAAGCACAAAAAGAACGTTAGCAAATCGAAAAAGGATTTTTACCGACGAAGTCCAACAATGGTTCTGTCTCTATCCCAATTCGGGGATCTGGCGGGGTCCTTCTGCAACTTTCTCTCCCACCACTCCTTCACGAAAGGGCCTTCAAAGTCGGTTTTGACAACATCGATTCCATCGTTCTATATATACTCTGACTTGACGTGGAGTGATAGAAGGGAGATGACGAAGGGAAAGGAGGGTAGAGGGAAAAGCTTTCATAGCCTTCCAGATCGCGCTTCGCCGATTTCCTAATTCAATAATAGATTAATGCTGGGACACTCTAAGCT